CGTCTATGTTGCTTTGTTTTATCTAGCTGTGCTCTCACTCCTGGTAAGGGAGTAGGGAGTCAGTAGTTGAACTTTTACCTTCCGTGTGGAGACCTTGGTTTGAGTCCCAGTCAGAGTACCTCATGCATAGCCGTTGTTGGTCTGTGGAGGCTTGTTGTTAGGATACCAATCAGCTTCCTGCAGAGCTTCCAGACTAAAGAAGACCAGGAAGAAAGGCCTGGAGATCATCAGCCCATGTTAACGTTATGGATCACAGTGGTCTGATCCAATGCAGATCGTGGGGATGTGTAGGGCCAGGCAGCATTTCTTTCTGTTGTGCTTGAGGTCTCCTTGAGTTGCCACCCACTGACAACAGAGAACAACAGGTATTGTTGTTGTTATGTGCTGTGGAGTCGGTTCTGACTCATAGCCACCCTGTACAGGGTTTCCGAGGCTGTAAATATTTACGGGAGCAGAAAGCCTCATCTTTCTCCCATGGAATAGCTGGTAGTTTTGAACTGCTGACCTTGAGGTTGGCAGCCTGATTTGTAACCACCACGCTACCATGGGCTTTAGTAGAAAGATCTCTAAAGAGAGAGAGCTGGGGGGCCCAGCAGGAAGAGTGTTCCCATGAGGATTGGCTTCATTCACAAGGACGCTGGTAATCCTCAGGCGGTCGTAACTCAGAAATACAGAGCTTCTTTTTCTGCGGTGAGTTTTGAATAAAGCGCTGGGTCACAAGGTCAGTTTGAACCACACGGTCAGTGGCTCGAACCCACGAGCTACTCGTGGGAAACCCAATACAGGGTTGATAGGAGTTGGAATCAGCTCGATGATACACGACAATAAGATACGTTGTAGATATTTATGATTTAAAAAACAAATTAAAAAACAAACAAACAAAAAAATTAAAAATAGACTACGCAATTTTGGGGAGTCCTAGTGTGTAGCTGTAGGATACATACTGGACCATGAGGTCGGTTTGAACCGCAAGGATGGTGGTTCAAGCCCACTAGCCGCTCCTCAGAAACCCTATACAAGGTCACTATGAATCAGAATTAACAACAACAAAACCAACCATGTTCCTGGTGATTGTTCCAAATAATTCGCCTTTGAAAGCCCTAAACAGCACAGTCCCACTCGGACACACACAGTGTTGCTGTGCATCAGAACCCACTCCTTGGCAGCTGGTTTAAATGTAACCAAACATTGAATCTTTCCATGGAAAATAGAAATTGGGAATTGCTACTTTAAA